ATTCATTAAAAAAAAAAAAAAAAAAAAAAAAAAAAAGGTCATGGATAACATTCTGTTGTGAACCCAAAATCGAAAAAAAATAAATACCGATTTCTGAAATCGAAATTGAAAAAAATGATTATCGATAATCGAAATTAATAATAAACTAATATCAATAATCAAAATTGAAATTAAAATCAAAATTTTTTATTTCGATTTCAAGCCCTGACATGTACCATTTAAAATATAATTTATGTACAATTTTGTTTACTAAATAGGTACCTACATAATTTTTTTTTATTTTTTGATGAGTTTAGATAATAGGTACACCAATTATTATGATAAACAGGGCCGGCGCTAACTTTTGCGAGGCCTTGGGCAAACTTATTTTTTCAATAACCATAATCATCCATAGCCTGTAGACCGTAATTAAAGGCGATAATATGTAATCAGACTCGTTGACAGCTGCATGCGATGTCGGGTCTGATATATGAATAATTAAATTTAAGAAATGTAATAAGATAAACTTTTTAGGCATCCCGGTGGGAGTTTAATTCCGTCGAAACTACCGGTTTAAGAGAAAGGTTTATATCAATTCCGCCGGCTACTGTTTCTAATATTTACATATCGATTTCGCCGGACGCTGTTCCCCCCCCCCCCCTTGTAATATTTGATTACATGTTTACATTTTATAAAATTATAGTAACTGTTTAATTCAGGGGTTTTCAACCCTCGGCCCACCCTGTCATAATATGCGGCCCGCGATCACATTTTAAATTTAGCATTTACATTTTCTAGTTCAATAAAATTATAACAGTTTAGCTATCGCTATCAGAAATATGTGATAATATAAATTTAATTACCTACCAAATATAATTATTATTGTCTGTTGGTTCGTAATAGATTGTTAAACGAGCATAACATTCTCCTTTATGTGTAAAAATTTCAATTTCATACTTTTTCTTCGTAATATTTGTACAATATGTCGATGAGTAAAAAACGTAAAATCTCGGATAAAAAACGCGTTTTTCAAGAAAAATGGTCCAATAGCAATTTTTTTAAATTATTAAATTTACTAATTTGTAATTTTAAATGTACCTACCTAATTTTAAAAATTGTATAAGAATAAAACTGAATTTTTATATATAATACATGTTTTTACAACGAATGCGGCCCGCAAGATTTAAAAAAATTAACATGTGGCCTGCTGCATAAAAAGGTTGAAGATCCCTGGTTTAATTCAATATAACAATAATATAATTGTATGTGTATTTAAATATATATTTATCAAGACTTTGGATATATTTCCGTTAATTTTGTGCTAAATGAAATTCGCATCCAACGATCCGTATTTCAGGCCATATTGTTTTTGCATCAATATGTATATTTCTTCAAAATTGGAAACTATTTTTGATCGATTGATCTATAAATTAATTTTTGAACGTTTTTCCACGACATTTTCAAACAATCGTGCATATGTGACTCTACATTTGTTTGGTAGTAAAAAGTATACGAATGAAGTATAATGTCCGTTCTTGAAAATGTATATAGTAAAAAGCTGATGAAATTATTGTGATATTATAAACAATAGCCGGCGGAATCGATATGTAAATATTATAAACAGTCGGCGGAGTCAATATAATATATCCATATTATGTCCATCCCGGTTTCCATATCATGTGACGTGCAATACGGGTCTCCGTTGGTGCATACATAATATATTAAATATAATATAATATTGTTGTTTTATTCATTTGTTTTATTACACGCCTACGGATTTCTCAAGAAATCGCTCTCGCTAAGCGATCCATACATTTCTCGTTTTATTTTATGAAATTTCCATAAAAAATATTTTTCAATTAATATTTTAAGCGCGAAGCCTTTGAAAGCGTGAGGCCCTGGACAACTGCCCCGTTTTTCCACCCTCTAACGCCGACCCTGATGATAAGGCTAAATTATTTATTCTAATTCGTTATGAATTTAATCACGTTAGTCGAATTGCACTTATTACCTAAAAAAATTATGGTCAAATTATATTTGGGTTGAAAAAAGTAACGGTCGAACTGCACTTGAATAAAAAGAAAGTAGTAGTGGAATGGCATTCGTTCAAAAAGGGCGTTAAAACTTAAGGCGGGTTTTCAATATAAACGATTACGTATGCGTAGGTACATAAAAATGTTTATAACCGTGATGTTGGATCTAACTGAATATTTTTCGTGTACAAGACTAGTACACGAAAAATGTTATGATATGTTTCCACTATACCATTTTTTAAATAAAACTCCTTTTTATAAACACGTTAAAAATATTATGAATCTCATACGTTTAAGAATGTTATAGCACAATTACCAATAAATACTTATATTTCAATACAGAATAATAACATAAGAACTTCAACACACGGTGCCAGAAAAAAATAACGATATTGAAAAATATACTTTTATGCTCAAAAGCATATTACCAGGTTGGAGTTTTTGAATTCAGTTTGTTATTAATACAAAAAATCATTAATATGAGTTTAAAAAAATTAAATAATGATAATATTTGTCAATTAAATTAATTATATTATTTTGATGTGATATAGTTAGTTAATTTTAAGACTTTATAATATCTATATTAACATTTTGGTATGTATAAAAAAAAAAATTTAACCACCCCAATGATTAAAATCATTGGCAGTTCTAAACTTATAAGTAAAAAGGAAAATTAGTGTTTTCTAACCGTTTAACCTATTCAAATTCATGATATTTTTGTTAAATTACCTTTTTTGATCCCAAATGTAGTTCGGTCATTACCTTTTTTCAACCCAGGTGCAATTCGACCATACCCAATTTAAATATACAAAAGGAAATAGTTGTGCTGTTAAATAGTGTGAGTTATAAGTAAATGATTTCAGTATAGAATTAAATGTTTATTTTTGTTTTTTTCTTAAATAAATCGATTTATTATAGGTATTTTCATTCTCAGTCTTCTACGTAAAATATTCATTTAATGGTATTTATTAGTCTCATGTTTTTATTAATATAAATTTAATACTATTTAATCATTACTATGTTTATTTTTAAAATTTAAATTTGAGAGCATGTTCATTAGTTATTTGCATATTTGATAAACCATATTAATTGTTATTTTGACGAGAAAACTTAAAAAAATTAACGTTGCATAGAATGATTGAAAACTACATTTATGTTATATTTAAATTAACGAAATAAATGTTTAGTTATTTTTTTAAAAAATATTTGAAAAAAACCACTCTTCAATATGAAAAAGATGAATAGTTATTAATATTTAAAACAATTGTGTGGCAATTAATATTTTTACAAATAAATGACTTAGTATAGATTTAACAAATGAAAATGTGTATAATGAAATAAAAATTACTTTCGTTTAAGTACCAATAATATATGAATTTATTCAAGGTATAATTTAATATATGTTCCTTAAGATTAATGTTTTTTTATGCTTAAGTTTTACGATAAAATCTATTTTCTGTACGTTTTACTTATAAGTTATTAAAATATATATTATGCTTTATATGTTATTACATAATATACGAGTTAATTTTTGTATTTTTACAGTTTGGTTTGTATTCTGCATTCGCTGGATGCATTGTTTATACAATGTTTGGTAGTTGTAAAGATATTACCATTGGTCCAACAGCATTAATGTCACTTATGACTTATCAACAAGTTATTAATAGAAACTCTGACTATGCCGTATTACTATGTTTTTTGTCTGGAATTTTACAGTTCATTATGGGATCACTTAAACTAGGTATGTATTAATTAAAAATAATTTATGGTGCAACACATATCTATACAATAATATTTAATTTGCTGTAATATTTTGTGAAAAAATCAAAATATATAAAAAGAACTTTTCTTTTAATTATTATTATAAATATAATATAATAATAATACTAATAAATTTATTTATGTAAATTTGTATATTTTATTTAGTCTGTATTGATATAACAAATGCATATTCTTCTTTTTAGTTTTAATAAAATATACTTTTCCATGTAACTGTAAGAAATTGGAAAATGATCAAAAGATAAACCCCCAATCGAAAATAGAGTCGTTATGGTTAAGTTAGTCGGATGTTTATACTCACACAGAACTGCACAACTACATAGATTTTATCCCTTTTTTCCGGTTCCTTAATTAGTTTTCAGTCTATCGAAATTATATAAAAAATAAATATTTTGGATGTCTGTTTATCAATTAATACATTATTCGTAAAATTACCGAAAAAACCAACATTTTAAAATTATATTAACTTTATTATATTAAATTATATGTTTTAATTCAGTAAATATCGATCAATTATAGAGACATTAACTAACGATTCCTTTTGGTGACATGAATAAACATCCCACCTTCAGGGTTTGCTGGTATAGTTTTTGGATTTAGTTTCACTGGCACTTTCATATTTTTAGACAATGAAACATTATAAGCTGATAATATTCTGACAAGAGCGACTTTTACTTGCATTGTTCCAAATCGCATGCCTTAAACAAATAATATTTTTAATTAATTGTTACGTGAAATTATTAAATCTGATTACTACTATACCTATGCATAGTCTAGGACCTGCACCAAATGGCACATACGCATACTGCGGTCTATTCCGCTTTTCATCTTCTGTAAATCTTTCTGGAATGAATTTCTCGGGTTCTGGCCAATATTTTGGGTCATTATGAATACCATATACTGGTATAACTACCTGGAGACCTTTAGCTAGGGTAAAATCTGAATCTGGAAATTTATATGATTTGACAGCCTTCCTGGTTAAATTAGGCACCGGTGGATATTTCCTTAAGGCTTCTGTACATTTTAAATTTCAATTGTATATTATATTTAATTAATTTTACTGATATAATAACCTGATACAATCATATCTAAATAAATCATTTCTTGCAACACATCATATGTTAAATTTCCATCGTGTTTGCTAAGTATTGTATCAATCTCTTCTTGTGCTCTTCTTTGTACTTCCAAGTTTTGGGCAAGTTCATAAAAAGTAAATGTAAGTGTAATTGATGAAGTTTCGTAACCACCGATAAACCATACGAAACATTGAGCCGCCAACACTTCCATTGTAAATTCAAAATCTAAAATATTACAATTTATGGTAATATATATATATATAATATACATAATATATAAAATCAATTTATACCTTCTTTACTTTCGTTTTCTTCGAATATGGATTTACTGTCTTCTTCAGAAGCTAAATTATGGCCTCTTTTTATTTTCATTAGCAAATCTAGAAAGTCATTTCGTTGTATATCATTTTCTTCGCGGTATTTAACTGTATTGTTGACTACATTATAGAAAAAATCAGCATATTCTTTTTTAATGCTTCGTACTTTTAATATGCCTATTAAATTTGGTGCAAGTGCATTTAATGCGTTTCTTATTATGGTTTCTCGACTTGTGGAAAATAACATTCGACCAACTTTTCGGAATTCAGCATCAGGATTTGCTAAAGAGTTAGTTTCAAATCCAAATGCCACGATGCTGATAACATCAGTTGAAAATCGAGCTAAGAGTTCCTTGAATTCAACCTGAAAATTAAGTAATACGTGCTTTAATTTAATTATATGTACTTATTAAGTAACATTTTTAAAATGGTGAAACTCCACGGGTCGGATGATGTGTAAAGATAGGTGAATGCTAGGTACCATTGCTCTCAAACGACTCTCAGTAAAAGGAATCGGATAGGTAATTTTATACTTATCAATATGGTTGAAATAGAAGTAGAATGCAATTTCTTAATAAGATAGGATTTTAACTTTTAGTTATTAAGAACCTATAAACAGCATATACATAATTCAGAAAAATATTTTTAAAATTTTAAAATATATTTAAAATGCTAATATATTGACACAGTAAATATTTCAAGTCGTTGCGATTAATATTTTTAGAATAACAATCAAATAACTAACACCTTATGATCGATATTTGTTAAATCACCTAATTTCGTGAAAATTTCATTTTTTACCGTTTAAAAATTCTTTTTTTCTTTTCTTTAATACTTTTTTAATATAAAATTAAATTTAATAATAATAAATTTATTTTTCAATGACTAAAAAAGATATCATTAATAATTTTTGTATTTAATTTTCTTGCCTTAAGTATTAATCATGAATTTTTAACTATGTGAAAAAATGTCAATTTTCGGGAAATTATACTGAAAATTTTTCATTAATCAGTTAGGTTTAAGAAGCAAGAAGCACGGTTGACTACGATGCGCGCAGTCATGAGGTTGAACCCGGCTTAGTATAAAAAAACATTTTGCATTCTTTAGTTTCTTTCCCCTATCATCATTCTGGTTGCATTACACTGCTGTTTCCCATCAGACCAAACTACTGGGAGTGAATTCCTCACACGTACAAATCCTCTATTTAGAGAATGGGATACAAGTGCTGCACTGCAATTAACCCTCCTATGCGAAAAAATACCTATAATGATCTGATGGTCGTTTTAATGCATAAAAAAAAATTGACAACTAGATATATGTATGAGGAATTTTGTATTAAATTTTCAAGACTTTAACTAATTAAAATCAATTTCTCGACATTATACGAAAAAAAACTAAGATAACATAACATTTCCATTTATCTATAAATAGTTCCAAAAAAACTGAAGAAATGTGTTGAAAATTATACATTTTTGAACAATGATTTTGACAATTTTTTTTTATCAGAAATCTCCCATGATTGTGATAATCGGAGAAATACGTCTGGTTGTAATTGTGTAAATACGAGTAGAGATATATAAAAAAAAAACCCCGTGGTAAAATTAATACTTTCCTTGTTTTACTCAAAATCTAATATTTGGTTGAATTCTAAATTAAATAAACCCGTTTGAAATTATTTTCAAGGCATTTAGGTATAATTTGTAATTACATATTATATAACTTAACTATTATTATAAAAAAAGTTTACTTGATTGCCATTTTCTGCTGATATCTGGAGTATCGTCACCATTTCTTGAGCTCGGCCATCTATGAGGTCAATCATGTTTTTTATTTTTCCAATAGTAAATGCTGGTGTTAATTTATTTCTCAACACTTTCCATTTATGGCCTTCTAATGTCAATAAATTACCAGTAAGTGGTTCCAGTTTATCATCAAACACTATCCCACGGTTAGGGAACGTTGAGAATTCTTTCGTAAATACGTCTTTAATAATGTCTAAATCCCTAAGCATAAGCTTTGGCTTTTGAAATTGGTAAAATCCAATAAACTTGTATCCATCAGTGTTATAATAAATGTTTGCATAATGTTCGCCTACCCACGTTTTCATTTTAGTTACCTCCTTAGTGTGTCCATATATAATATGAGGACTCAATGGAACTGGGCATCCTTGTCGTTGCCAAAATGTATAACGATATTTCAAGTAGAAAAATAATGACGTTGTAATTATAGTAGCATATGTCACTAAACTTAATATGAAATTATCGAAAGGAATCATGTTTCCTGTAAATTAAAACACAATGAAAAATATTAAAATGTATACAATTCTCCACTAATATGAATTAAGAAGTATTTCACGGTAGATCTTTTAAAAAAATGTATTTAAATGTATTAAAAATGTAGACCTGAGTTTAGATTACTTTTATAGTATGAGTATGTAATGATTATGCACGATTAATTACATTGCAGTATGATTCCGCACTTATCGCTTCTTTTATACAATTAGTAGTAGGTCATTTATGTTAGTGAGATGTGTATATGAGATAAGAAAATATGTTTTTTTTTACATAATATTTTATATTTTATATAAAAAAGTACCATAACTTATTGATTAAAGTATAAAAACTAAATTAAAAATATTAGTTGTTTATATACTTATGTATAGATAACGGAATTTAAATGTTATTGCTTTTTTTCCTTACTACTCTAATACGATATCCGCTATAAATTCAATTTATACTTCTTAGAAGCAAATACATTAAAATTGATTTTTTCCTTATTTTGTTTTTTTTTTTTTTTTTGTAATTCAATCCTTTTTGGGGTTTTAGATATTTTTTTTTCTCTTAAATTAGTAACATTTTTTTTTAAATTTGTTCTTAATAAACGTATTTCAAATATTAATATTTATCATGTTACATAATATGTTCCGAGGAAATCGCTCAACTAATTTGATTTCGTTATGTTTGATTTAATTAATCGATTAATTGATAAAAATAATTGAGCACATTTCTTGACAATTGACATCGAGTGTCAATTTGTGATGTACCGTATAATGTTTAGGTATATTCATTTTTATTAATTCATTATAGAAAATACATAACATAAATTCAAACAAACTTCGGGAAAAACGGGAGATGCAGTTTCAAAAAAACTTGATTATGTGCTAAATAAATATTTTTAAATTTTAACATTTAATAATTTAGTACATTACAAATTTTACTCTAGACCATCTATAATGATATTTACAATATGTCATATGACGTGTTATAAAAATCGTCAACAAAAATACTAAAATGTCAATTTAACATTCATCATATTATTACAATAGAGTTTACTAAGTTTACTGAGTTTACTAAGTATAATACTTTAAGATCAATATCATTAAAAAAAATAATAGCATAATTATTTATTCTCTACACCAATCAATAATATCAATCAATAATAATGTTATTTAAATATATATATTATAATTCCATGTGTCATTTATATAATGTAACATATTTTTCTCTACCCGTGTATCATTTAAAATATACAGTAATAAATTAAAATCAAAAGCAACAAATACAAAAAGTCAATGATATAAGTAGCACCCAATTTCGATACCCCGTCCTGTCACACTCTTAGCGAGTTGACTAGTTCATCTCGAAGGGCGAGTCCGTTTTCGACCAAAACAAATATTTATATAATAAATTTAAAATAATAAAATAATTATATACAAGGTTTGATTATGATGGAAACTACTATAATATATTAATGACGATTCAGGGTTTTACTCAGGTAGCGAGGTTTTAGGTTTACATACAGAGCATAATCCCATTTGCAACAGTATCAAGGTTTGTATAAAAACTAGGTTAGGCTTAAACTATAATTCCCCTTAAAGCGAAGCCCCATCTCTCTTGAAAAGTTGATGAGTGGATCCGGCAGGCGTAACGAGCGAAGTCCTAAAATTTTTAAAATTAAAATTCCGATTTTTTCGAAAAATAATGCAAACAATTTTCATAACTATAAGAGTTAAAAACTAGAAACAAAATATCGTTCTATTTTATATTAATATTTTAATAATTATTGACAAAAATTGTACATAATTATTTTATTATTTTTAATTTATTACATACATTTTTGCAAGTATATCCTCATGTACCCAATGCTTTTTGTTAATAGATGCTCTTTTTTTCAATGTTTCACTTAACGCTTGTTGTACTGCTTCTTTGATTCTGTTTCATTTATTATTAATGGAGTCAGCTTGAGGTAGATTTTCTAGTTTGTCATTGCTATTTTCTGCGTAAGTTCTTGCACTATTAGTGTCTTTGAGGATCTGGAAATTCCATTTCTTCATCGACTTGTATCTTGGTTTGTCTAATTTCTTAAAAACTTTATTGCACTTCATCATTATAAGATTGTGGTCACTATCAGCATCTGCTCCTGGGTACGTTTTGCATCTATGAATTTGGTTTCTGAATCGCTTCCTTACTAGTATATAATCAATTTGATATCTTGCAATGTCTCCAGATATTTTCCACGTATATCTTCGTCTTCGGTGTGTGTTTTGAAATGTATTTGCTATTGACTTATCGTATTGCTTACAAAAATTAACTAAAAGCTCTTCCCTGTCGTACCTCACTCCAAGTCCGTAATGACCAACTGTTTGGCCCTCCACTCCTCGTACTACCGCATTCTAATCACCCATTATGATTAGGTTGTCTTCTCCCTTTGTGAATTTAATAAGTTCTTCTATTCTTGCATAGAGCTCTTCAACTTCTTCATCGTTTGCATTGGTTGTTGGCATATATACTTGAATTATCACTATGTTATTTGGTTTAGCTCCGAGGGTTATTAAAGCAAGACGGTTGTCGTAAGGGTCTTTATTTATAACTTGATGTTCCCATTTTTTGTTTACGATGAAACCTACTCAAACTCTGCCGGATGCATCTTTTCCCGAATATATTATTCTAAATTCATTAGACCAGAAATCTCTGTTGTTTGGCCATGTTACTTCACTTACCCCTAGTATATCTATTTTCAATCTTATTTCCATTTTAATATTTTCTTATTTTCCGTCTTGTAACATCGTTCTATATTCAATGTTCCTATTTGCTTCCAATGATTTCACTGAATTACGACCTGATGAGCCTTGAACATCATCTTGCCGGACCTGACACCTCCGATAGTATCTGAGTCATTAACCTCACTACATTCTTCATCTCTTTTCATACTGTTGTTGACTTGGAAAAATAATGTGGTAGTTTCCTTCTCTTTCCACATCGCAGTTGGTGAGCCAGTACTTAAGTTATCCTTAAGCTGCCATCGCCAAATCCTTCCACTGTCGTTAGATCAGCTACGAAAATTGCCAATTGTCGATTGTAGCGGTTACTGCTGCCCTGCGCTACCTCCTTTTGATCGCTTTTTACGATAAGCAGGAGTTACTGTGGGTCTATTCTAATCCCCAACCCATAGGGAGTAATAAATAAATAAACAATACCAGTATATTATTCTGAATTTTTGAGCTTAATATGTTTCATGTTTACAAATAATTATATTAAAAGATATGAATTTACCATCATTAATCTCTTTTTTAAAGTAGTTATTTATAAAGTATTTTTAATAAGATATTATTTGATGAAAGATTTAAAATATTATTTGAATATTAAGTGTGTTCTCTATATTATGTTTTTAATTTTTTTATTGGTACCTAATTTGTTTTTAATCTTATGCAATATTTGATATATCGTAATAAATATTAGTATTTGTATAAGATATTAATTTCCATAAATATAAAAAAATTAGGTTCTTTTTATGAGTTATAGTAGATATTAGTTATTACTTCATATAATATACATATACATATGTATTTAACTAGCTTATTTCTTATATGTAAGCTTCCTATAATTTAATGTTTCATATAAAAAATAATTCTGTTTGATGATTTTTGACTTGTATGCAAGTAACTTATTATTTACGTGCACTAAGAATGCAGTGCATATTGAGAAATATTTTAATTTTGCGGCGTTTGCCATACAAATTCAGTGCATCTCCCCTCCCCTTTCATGACTACTTGCTTTTACAGCTACATCTTGGTCCTTCATTTTTTAAGAAAATTCCTTTTTCGTTAACCAATATACATTTTAAATTTCACTCGTTCAACTTCATTCAACTCTCTTCTTGCATTTCCTTTTTCCACTAATTTTACTTTCTAAATCTACCTATTTTCTTATTATGAAATCCACTAATGACAATCCTTCCTACAAGTATACGACCCGTTTGATTGCTTATGTAAATGTATTTAACAGGGAAAATGATTTTCAACAATCTAGATTAAAAAATTTTTTCGATAGCAATCTTATTACGGTGGAAGTTCTGAACTAATTTTTTTTGTAATTGGTGTTATTATTTATAATATTTTAGACTCACGTCTGTTAATTATCTAAATTATGTAAGAATAGAACAAATAAAAGTGTGTGTGTAGTTATGTAGACAATTAAAGATTTGTTATTATTGTATTGATAATTATTTATCGTAGACTTGTTCATCTAAATTTTTAAAATACAATTAAGATAAATGTAATGTATAATTAAATTATAAATTATAATTATTATATTATTAAATGATAATATATTTTTTATTAAAAATAAACTTATAAATACATTTTTTCAGGTGTATTAATTGACTTCATTTCCATCCCAGTGACTGTTGGTTTTACATCGGCAACATCTGTTATTATAGCAGTATCACAATTAAAGGGTCTTCTGGGTTTAAACTTCCAGTCATCATCATTTTTGGATTCTCTAGTGAAAGTATATTTGAATATTGGTAAATTCCGTCCTAATGATACAATTCTAGGAGTCTCCTCTATTGTTATACTACTTTTTCTTCGAGTAAGTTACTCAAGTCCTATTCTTCTAAATAAGTTTGATTTTTAAATGTAATGCTTAAACTTTTATTTTTAGAAAATAAAAGACATTAAACTACTTGGTCCAAATGGTGGTAAGCCATCCAGTAAACAAAGGACAATCATGAAAGGTTTATGGTTGCTTTCCATATCCAGAAATGCGTTGATCGTACTTGCTTGTTCAATGATTGCATATCAGCTACATTCTCCAAATGCAGAACCTTATGTGACTTTAATTGGTATACACACTAAATTCAAATAGTTTAATAATAATAAATTATATACTTTAATGAATGATGTTTCTGTTCCCGACAATAGCAAATTAAATAAAAAAAATTTAAAAAAATTGATTGATGCTTAAATATTTTATTGGTTAATAGGTTCCATAGTTATGCTTTATAAAATTATTAAATAAGATTTTTATGATGACTAATACTACATCCATTTCTTATCATACTAATTCATTACTTTTAAAATGCATTCGATTGATATTTTATTATAAGTTTACAGTTCATTTTTATTACATTATTTTATTTATTTATTTATTAATTTTTTTGGTGTTTGCGGCCTTTAGGACCATCCCATCATACATCCATCTTTCCATCTCTCTCGGTCTGCTGCTCATGCCTTCTAATCTCTTCCTCCTCTTAGTTCTTCCACATTCCTCTTCACTACATCCTCCCACTTATTTTATACACTTTTAGAAAGCTTACATTTATAATTTTAAACTGAAGTTATCAAACATATATTGGTTTCATAATGGTCTTTATTATACTTGTTACACTTTTACTCTCAGAAAATTTAATATAGTTTTTAAATAAATGAAATAATTTATGTAAATTGTAATTTATATTTAAAATGTTGTTATTTTTTTAATACTATCCAATATAACCCTGATAATAGCACACAGAAACCACAGAAAATAAACAAAATATTTTTTTTTAAATTTTTATTTGTCATCATCTATAAAAAGCTGTATAATACCTATGCACTTTGAACTGTTTGCTTATCGATATATATTTAATTAATATTATTTTTTTTTTTAAGAAAGATTTAAAAAAAACATTAATTTTAATATAGGTAATTTCTTTGTATAAAATTGTATAAGTTGCTTTAACTGAAAAGTAGTATAATTTAAAGTAAAATATAAATATTTAATATTTGATCAAAGAATTTTAATTCTTTCAGTTAATTTGTATATTATATATTTATGAAAATGAGTAAATTTGTATTCTTTGAAATTTTATGCAATTTTACTCTTAAGCTATTCTATTTTGTGAAAAAAAATTGAAGGTACTATATCTTAAAATTGTTCTTAATTTTCAAATTAATTATGTAAAAAAACTTAAACAAATCTTAATTATTATTAATTTTTTTTTTTTGCATCTTGTAGATATTTTTAATATTTCTGAAAAATATTTATTACTTAACAATTTTAGAATAATGAAATTATGCGTGTTTTAAGATTTTTTCTGTCAATTCACTTTTCTTATCTGAATGTAAATTACTTATATAATTGTTCAACCACATTTTCACAAAAGTATTCTGCTTCAAAATAATTTTTTTCAAATGAAATTAATCTATTAAGATAAAAAAATTGAACAAGACATATATTAATACTATCATCTGTAATTCTTACAATTTTATCATATTTTTTGTTTTCAATTAAATTTTTTTTGTTTATACTGAAACATATTTTAATTCAAAAATGTAATTATTTATTTTTAAGGAAACGTAAGATCTGGCTTGCCACCGTTGAAACTGCCACCATTTGGGACAGAAATTAATGGTGTAACCATAAGTTTTATTGATATGTGTATGGATCTTGGATCTTCTATTATATTAGTACCAGTGATTGCTGTCCTTGGAAATGTAGCTATCGCTAAAGCATTTTGTATGTACTAACTTTACTTGTATAATTTTAATTTCTTTTAAACTGTCTATATTATTTAATATTATAATATTAATAGCTAGTGGAAGCTCTATTGATGCTACACAAGAACTTTATTGTTTGGGTGTATGTAATTTATTGGGTTCATTTGTTTCTTCAATGCCAGTTACTGGATCATTTTCAAGAAGTGCAGTGAATCATGCTAGTGGTGTACGAACACCCATGGGTGGATTGTACACAGGTAAAATATTAAAATTAAATGAAATTTTTAAAATATTTATTAACTATTTAATTAATATTAAATATTTATTAACTTATAAACTTAGGTGTACTTATTATTTTGGCGTTGAGTTTACTGACACCATATTTTTACTTTATACCCAAAGCAGTCCTAGCAGCAGTCATCATTAGTGCTGTTATTTTTATGATTGAATATGAGATTGTTAAACCTATGTGGAAATCAAGCAGTAAGTTATACTCATAAATTAAATTATACCAATGTTGCTAAATAGTGATGGCGTTACAAACATTTGTTATTACCACAGTAATTATTAAACCACCTAATATTGGTGTACAGTGCCGTAACTAGACCACTCAAGATGGTCCTTGTGCAAATCTAATCCTTTAGACCCCTAATCATCAAATGTTTTTGAGAATTTGACCTTTTAAGGCTCCATAATATATTGTTTGAGGACCGAGGCCTGTGTGCAATGCACTGCACAACCGGTTTTTACGGCACCTTCCAAACGGACCAAGGTTCCATTTTAATATTGCCATGGTTTAATTGTAAATACATTTTTTCTATGTTCAAATTTAGTTGAAAGAAATATTTTCTAAATTAAATAAATAAAAGCTTTATTCAAAATAAAAACATATGAGTGTTATCAAATTTTAAAATTTTTCTAATACTTATACATTTTTATTTATTAGAATAAATTCCTATTATGCGAGTCAAGATTTAATGATAGAAAAATAAACATAATTGCTTAGAATTTAATAAAATTTATTAGATATCAATATATAATTATTTCTTGCAGGTTTCCGCATTCCAGTCAAATATTTTGAATTATTTAATGGCGGTGTTTGATATATCAGTAGTAGAAGTAGTAAAAAACTTTTTGTTCTTAGAAGAATCATATACAAACTATTTTATTAAATAAATAATACATTTTTCCCTGATATGTAATACATTGGGAATACCATTGCTATCATCTCGTCAATAAGATGCTGTTGAGCACTTTATAACCTCGCTCTTAGATGGTACTATAGATGCATTCCCCTCTAACATAAGTTTTTTATATCCCTTCCTTCTTCTCCAGAAGACTCTCCCTTTTCCTTGTTCTAACTCACAAATAATCCTATGAACAAAATCACCCCTTACATAGAATGCTTCGTAATTTAAATATTCATCATTTTGATTTTAATGTGTAATTAAATATACAAGTTATAAATTTGCTGTACTACTATTATATACTATACTATTAGGTAGGTTAAGTTATTACCATTAGTTCATTGTTGTGTTTTCTACATGTTCTATGTTCCTGTGTATTATTTTTATCGGTTACTTGTAATCTAATACTTAATCAGTATACTTAAAATTGCCATTTGGTGTTTATAAATAAATAATAATATTAATAATAAATTTATACCTAATATGGCAGCACTTGATTTTAGAATTTTTTAATTTAATTTCTTTTGATTAATTTAGTCAAACTATTATTTACATTATATTCTATTAGATAAATAGAAATAATTATTTCAAATTAAAACTTAATTTGTATTATAGTTTAAAATTTATATTCAAATAAAATTATAATAATTATAATTATTATAATTGTTTATGGGTACAGTTAGATTTGTTACCTTTAGCATGTGTATTAATAAGTTTTCTTGTTGCCTAAAAATATGATAGTATATTTTTATATTATAAAGGGGATAACAATTATATAATTTAAAATATCTATGAATAATTTATAATGGCTTCAATTAAAATTATATGAAAAAAAGTGAAAATTCACTTAAGTACAACATTTAGAACTTGAAGAATTATTGTTTCTAAAATAAGTGTTTGTGACACAATTGAAAAAATTAACAACATTATGTCTTAAACATATTTTTTATTTAAAGGAAAAGACTTGATTCCGACATTTGCAACATTTGTCTTATGCCTGGGCGTTGGTGTAGAACTTGGAATTTTAATTGGTGTTACTATAAACATAATGCTTCTACTTATACCATCAGCTAGACCATTTTTGCAAATTGAAATGAAAAAAGTATGATTATAATTATAGCTTATGGAGTATCTACATTTTACACTATTTGACAAAATTTTTTTTTGCTGTTGATTAATGGAAACTGTTTAATTTATAAAGTACCTACATTCAACTTAAAATCAAATTTACTTACCAGAATTTTCATAATTACAGTTAAATTCCGGATTGGATTATTTACTTGTTACACCAGAAAACAGTATTTATTTCCCCGCTGTAGACTTTATACGTGCTAAAACTGATAGAGCTGCTGTTAAAATGGGACAGTCAAAACTTCCTGTTGTGATTGATTGTAAACACATACATGAAGCAGATTTTACAGCTGCCAAAGTAAGTTGTAAATATTTAATATCAGTGCACCATCATAAATAGTATTACTAATGAGTTCAAAATCATAATTTTTAATCAGTCAAATTCATAATAATTGTAAATTTATATTTTAATTTATAAAAATAGTTTTTAGATAAATTTACATGATTATAAAAAAATTTTATTTGGGGAATTTTAGTCTCCACTGATGAATTTCATTAGTAATCTTTTTTAAGTTCTCTAATGTCCTCATTTTAAAGGATGTATGATGGGTTTAATGAATTTTTATTGTATGATGACATCTATACCAGAAGTATTCAAACTGTGCATTGTGGCTCTGAGGAATATCGCGGACATTAGCAAAGAGAACCTTATCTTATAATCTAAAACCAATAATTTATTCATTCATCTGGAAATGTTATTAAGCAATACTATAGGTGGCAGGACACCAACATTAAATACATTTATTGAAACAAAACATTGCAAAAACATTTTAGAGCGACTGTAGGATAATCTTCTATGATCGACCTCTTACGATATCTTATTACTTGACTCGTTGGGTTGGAGTGCTTACATGTAGTCTGGCAGGATGCATGTTGGTCAGATGAACTCCCTCTAAGCCACTAAAAAACCCAATATTACCTTTATATGTATATATATTTAATTATAAGTTTTTACCATAAACATAATAATATATATTATATTCACATTAAATATGGAAAACGTTTTGTGAAATTAGCATTGATGGAGTTCATTCTTTATATAATCTGTATATGTCATATAATAAATAAATAAATTTATATTCATATTTTAATATTTAACTATTATTTTTTAATAATTTTAATAATTTGGAATCTGTTAAAATATTTTGAAGACAAAGGAGCCATGGGAAAAAAAAAGTAAATACCTCTGGTCTACCTTTTAGAAGTTTAAAGTTAAAAGTCCTTACCATAAAAATATTTATATACTTTATTATTTCTTACAGGTATCTTATAATGAAGGTTTGCCATATTAATTAAATTTAATATTACAATAGTCATATATTTGTAATTCTAGGGCATTGCTGGATTAATAATGGATTTCAAGAGACGAAAACAACTATTATGTTTTTATAATTTAAGGCAAAGTGTCTTAGCTGTGTGGCAAGGTGTTTGTGGTGATGAAATTCTTCATTGCTGTACATATGATGAATTAGAACAAACACTCAATGGTAAGATTAGATCATGTGACTATTTATAAATTTTTATTTATATATCACAAAGTAACATTTAATTGCAAATAATACAAATAATTTAAAAATACACCTAGAATTAATTTGTCCTAGATATCAACTCTTTCGAAAATCCAACAGAATTAAAGGACATAGTACATATAACATCTCAGCAGTCTCATGAAGTTCCCTTATTAAACAGAAGACAACATTAAACACTTTAATTTCTTATAGTATTATTTTCCTACATGTTGAATTTAATTGTAATTCAATTATTTAAAATGATATGAGTACTTATTTGCTCAAATTAATATAGATATATATCTATATATATATATATATATATATATATATTAATATTTGATAATACTTTATTTGTTATGTATACAAACATTGTTCATTTGTCAAAAAATAGGAACTAAAAATACATATTTTATTTTTTCACAATTATATATGATTCAATTATTTTTAAACATTGATCTGAGTAATGATATTTTAAAATAAAATGATTGTACATATTATTTATGAGAAAATTTTTTTTATTTTTTATTTTTAATCTGTAATAAGATACAAATTAAATTTATTTTTAATACTGTATATAATTTTCATAATATATTGATTTATTTAAAAAGAGTTTGTATATTCCATGTTCCGATCCTTAATCCAATCTGGTATGACTGTCCAAGGCTTGGTAGTAAGATTATTTTTTGAAAGACTTGGTAAAAATGTGTAAAAGGTCTTAAAGGCCTATAGAGCCTCTTGAAATGGCGTGACCCACAGTTCCCCGACTCTGGATCCGTCCCTGAGTGGAGCATTATGTGACACACCGTATCGGGTCGTCCATCACGGGCCGAGACCTTGTGAGGCCAGAATCATGTGGATTTATGTTTTTTGGAAATTGATTCATAAAAAATTCAATTGATACATGATATGTTTATTTACAAACACACAATTAATAACATTATAAATGAATGAAATCATGACAAAAACAGACATTTATCATATGACCAAGAAAAATATGATATTTATAGAATTTAATCCCATCAGCTCCTTTGGACGATTACCGGGATTCAGTAATAATAAAATACGTCTATAATAATTTTGACCTCGCCATGGGTCTATGTCTCGGATCAACATTAAAACAGTATTCTTCTCCGGTGATTATATATATAAAAAAATCATAATTTACCACATTAACAAAAAATGGGCGATAAAAAAATGAAATAAATAAATAAGGGTCCCAGCTAAAGTATAATTATGTCATCGTCCAAAAACGCAATAAAGAATTATCACACGTTAGAATTTCTAGGGCGTCGTTCCTGAGACACGTCGAAGAACGGTGTTGTTCAGCGGCCCATGATGTTGCTTCGACGGTGGAAGAAACGAGACAGCCGTTTTACGGAAATGCGTTTTCTGTGACAGGTTCCCATCTCAACGGACCGGTACAGATTTACAAAGGTGAAACTAGGAATTTTTACGCCCGGGGAAAATGTTAAAATTACGCCCTATCATAGACCGATAATCAAATACTCTTCTCGAGAATATCTTCTCCTATAATTAATATGCAATCGTACTTATTGAGTTTTAACCTAATAACAGTATTTAACAAAGTTAAAAATATCAAATCAGTTGTTGATAATTACACCCTCTAACAATTTACGCTCGGGGATGAACGCCATCTTTTAACTCATAGTTCCACCACTGTAGATTTATACAGTCATATTGCGGTTCTGGTCGATGGACCTGAACGAGTGGCCACGAAAAGGAAAAGAACATTTGGTCATCACAATACGAACACGTCCGGAAACGTCTGCATCGCTCACGTTACGGCGAGAAATGAGCTTCGTATTGTAGCGTACGAATTCGTACGTTCGCGCATACATCACGCGGATAATCATCATTGGTATTCATATTTTACACCCGTAAAAATGTACATAAGTCAAACGGACTTACGAACGACATCAGTAACAATGCGGCTGTACCGTGGTCATTTGATTTGGCTGTGTTAGTGTTTATCAAGTTGTTGTTTTTTTTTCCCCATCTCTCACCAGTAGGTACCGATATTACATCGACAAGTGGCAGACATACAGGAAAACGAGTAAAGGCTAAAAGTTTATAATCCCAATACAGAGCCAGAAGCGTTGTCAAGATTTTTTTTTCAGGAGAGGGGGGAGTATATGGAAATTTGTTCAAAAACAAACCACTGGGCTAAGTATTCTTTTATAAAAACAACATACGATAAATTACAACACATTTGTACTATATGTAACGCGTGGAAAACGATAACGGATTAAAAAAATATTTATTGATTATATTTATGTATTTGATTGTTACCAACATTCATAACTTGTAGCTCTAAAAATAAATTTTATAGACGCGATAATATGCTCTTATAAACATACATACCTAAAAGAACATATTCTGTTGCTCTTTTAGGAAACCGAGAAAAAATATCGATCTATTCTGCACAATATAACTCCAGAAAATGTAGTCCCGACGTCGAAAAACATGATATCACTGCCAACAAACAGATGATTGTCTGAAAAAAGTAGTTGAACTCTTATTTCAAATGACCAATGATGCTGTCGTCCACACCGAAGTCAATTTGGATATTTGGCTATCACAGTACTACGGCAAGGCTAAAAGTGGTTTACAGTTCGGCCGTAACGTTCAACATGAACACACGTACGTTGTATCGTTCGCAATCCGACATTACTCCGGGCGCTTATTAATTATTAATTGTCATTACGATATGCATTGGTTTCAATTAATAACGTCACTACGAAGTACGAATAACAATGTCCAGAAAACGGTCCCTGTCTCGCCTCGCACTGAAACGTATAATTCGCTCACACTGGTATACAGTGTATATTTACATATGATATATGCAGTGCTCGAGTTGAGGGTGAACGCAGGGGTACGGAGTACACCGACTAATTTTCAGAAATTTTAGCGTCCCCCTGCTATTATTACGTTATAATTATAACGTTCAACAAGTTTTGGGGATGCTCTTTTTTTTTTAAAGTAAATAGTCCCCCTTCTTTAATTTTGCCAAGTCGAGCACTGGATGTATGTGAATTCACCACAACCGCTTCGTCGTACCCGCCACCGAAATGAGTAATAACAATTTCATTTCTACGTCCTCAACTAACGCTGCTGACGACCACAACAGTCTGTCTCGCATAGATTACAAATTGGCCCTTCTATAAAAACGTAAAATCATATTTCTTCGTCTTCATCACCACTGTTCAAATACTAACTGTACCTAACCAAATGGTTCTAACAAAAAAGGTTTAACTATTATTTATTATTTTAGGTAAAATATCATTATATGTATTTTAGAACGAAGTAGCATTTTTTATTGGGGAACATCGGCTATAGACAGCCGTACTGTGAGAATTTTTTTAGTATTTCGTGGATTCGTGAATTCTCATTTTTTAAATATATATAAATATTAAAATTATTACTATCCATGTTATTAATATTTATTACTTCACTATACTAAATATCACTTGTTACTGAGCTATGTTTTATGTTTTACATATATTTACTTATTATTATTTGTTAATGATGTAATGTTTTGCTCTACGATAAATAAATAAATAAAAAATACATTTTCTAAACGTTTTGTAATCAACAATATATATATATATATATATATGTATAACTGTAAAATATTTACAGTAGATATTATATTATTACACATGTTATATATTAATATTATATTTCATCAATACAAAATGGGATGAAAATATTAAATTATGATTGATAATAGTATACGCATATCATCACATGTTTTTTTACTTCAACCTATAACCAAAATGTAAATTTTTTAACCAAAGATAAAACATTTCACAGCACTCGGTCACTAATTATTAACTCATCAATAAGTGTTCTATTTAAAAAATTAATATTCATCATTGATTTGTATAGTAGTCTGCCATCTGCTATCCTTGAAACGAGACATTTTATTCGAAGAAGACTTGGTAAAATATAAGCGGGCACTAAGAAGGTAAATATAATGGATTTATGTAAAGAGATCAAGTGAATGCATGTTTGATTATAGTTCGATTAAATGCACACATTTTTTTTTTACTCTTCAACTTTTTATCATTTAAAACTAGTATTTTCGGTTTAATGGTAGTAATATAACAAATAAAATAACACTCTTTATTTATCTTGAGTTTAACTTTAGTTAGTAATTACATTTGTATATATCTGATCATTCTGATTATAATTATATAATATTAATTAATAAAAAAATCGATTTTTGTTTTTAAAAATAAGTTAAGAAATGTATGAGTTTCCTAAATAGATTATTAAAACATACAATCATGATTTATTTTAATTTATTAATTACTAAAACAAATTAGTGTAAATCTGTGTATATATTATTTATATTATATTAATTTACATTATAATACAAAGCAGGTAGTGTACATTAAAATAAAAACATAGGAAAACTATGAATTATAATATGTTTTATTTATTTAATATAATTTTAACGCTTTAAATAACAAAATTAATGGATAAAAATCGGAACAAGTTCTAAAATTTACAAAACTCAATCTAGTAGATTTTTCAAGTTATGTTTTATTTAAAAATTGTAGGCACAAATGACATAAGGTGTATGACGATTATCTTCTAAAGTAATCAATATAATATAATTAATTGAATAATTGTGCAAAAATTTATAAAATCTTAATAGGTATACACATATTTTATATTACATTAAATTTTTTTTTTTTTAATGTATTTATTTAGTTTAAAATACATCAGAAAATGAATAGGCACTCTTACAAGTTTTTAATATTTAATATAATATAGCATTTATGTAATTGATAATGACTAATAAATAATATTTAATTTTATAACATTTAATAACTTAAATAATGTAATTGACTAATGTTTATAAAGAAATCAAAGATTTCAATCATTTGATAAACAATTAGAGAAGGAATTAAGTATAAGCATTAAAACATTTAATGAGATTTATTGATAAGAGATTTGATTTTTTACATTGCTGATAATTATGGGAAGTTTGTTGAGAGATTATTTAAAAGGACAGTAAATAGAGAGATTATAGGATTTAATAAGGTTTTAAGTTCGTTCAAAATTCTTGGCATAGAATTAAAAATATTGTATGTTGGTTTGGTGGCTGTTGTACTGGCGTATGATGGATATGATGAGGTATTGGATACATGACGATTTAGGCAAGTGTAAACTCGCCTAAAAAGTACAATAGTAAATTCCCCTAAAACCATTTTGCTATTAAATGATATGTAAATAAATATTGTAAATTCCCCTGAAATATATTGCTACTGAATTTATGCTAATTATATTATATTAGGTATTTATATTTTTATATTAGAATAATTTGGTGTAATTCAGAGAACACTACTTGGAGGTGGTTCCAATGTTCCCCAAAAATTGTTTTTTCTGGTATGAGCATATAATAGTACGTTTTCTGAGGATGTATTAAGTTTGATGTTTTACCTTTTTTAGTTTATTTATGCATTTTAACAGTTTTTGTAATTATACAATTTTTGTGTGATGCTATATGTACACCAAAACATAGTATAAATATTAGTGCCGGATCAAGGGCTATTGCCACCTTGCAGCAAATAATGTTTGCCCCCCTCCACCTCAAAGAAATAAAATTTAAGTGAAACCAAAAAAAAAAAATTCCTGGTTTCTATGTATAAATTAAAAAAATAAAATATTATAAATTATAGGTTAAATATAATAATTAATCTACATAAACCAGTAGCATACCCAGGATTCATTTAATGGGGATGTTTTAAAATTTAATAGACTTATGGTAAGTGGGGTGCTCTCCACTTCCCGTATTACATTAATGAATACCATGTATTTATATAAATTATTATATAAATGAAAACGATTATATTAAGGCAGTATATGTAAAATCTACAAGTTGTATATAACGTTTCTTCAAATTACGCTGTAAGTAAATTTGCAATCTGGTGAAATACCATAAAATTCAATCGAGGGGGGTGTTCTGACACCCATATCACCTCCCTAAATACGCCCCTGACTGAAACTAAAAAGTATAAATAGGTATATGTTTAATGCCACAGAATAGTTTTGCAAAGAATTTTTTTTCAACTATTTTCAACTAATGGAAAATACTGACAAAATATAATTATATTATTAATAAATTGGTTCCAAATATACAGATAATAATTAAAGTAATTTATAATATTAACGCCAATTAAAAAAAAACTATAACCATATAACTATATATATATATATTATATATATTATTATTTTTTTTATAATATTATTTATTTTTCTTTAAATATATTTTTTATGGATTTAATAGTTACAAGTTTTTATGTTAGTTCTTCTCACTTCATTTCCTCAACAAAATCAGATTCTGTGCATAAAATTTATAAATTGGACATTTTTTCTTGTATTAATGACGATCTTAAATAATTTTTTCGAGGCTATTTTATTTATGCCGCCCTAGAGCAAATAATTTTTTTGTACCAAGGTTAAACCGGCCCTGATAAGTATACATCTAATTGGGAAACTAAGATTTTTGGTACAATTTTTAGTTGAATGATCTTCGCCATATTTACTTTAAATCTTAAAAGCTATTTATAAGGAATTCTCTTTTTGATAATTCGCTAACTAATAACTAATAGTCAACACAATAGTTGTATATTTAACTATTTAATTCACATTTACTTTTGTTCAATGTATATCTAAGTTTTATTCTAGGTATTTTTAGATTGCTTAACTCGGATCACGGTATATTTATTATCTAAAATGGACAAGAGACTATTGAATGTCAGCGTATTGGGATTAGGTTTTATGTTTGTTTTCACTTCTTTTCAAACCGTCAGCAATGTCGAGGTAAGTTACTAAAATATCATAGTTTGAATTTATTGACTAAAATAATTTAAACAGTATTTTAAGCTATGTATTATGAGCATTAACTATGTATTTAGTTGATGGAAAAATGGTTTTGTGATAAAATTTGATATAGTTCATTATTTGAAAATAAAATAACTATGTATAAAAAAAATGTTGAGAAATTTTAAATGTACAAAATATATTTATTTCGAAACATTAAAATATAATATTTTTTATATTAATAAATACTAACAGCGTATTCGGTAAAATTAATATAATATTAAAAATATCTACATAAGGAGATATATAATTGAAATTTAAAACCATAATGTTATAGAAAACTGTATTGAAAGGTATTGAAAAAGAAAATCCTTCGTTTACCGGTGACGGATATACGAGTCTATGCATCATTTATGGAGTGTTTGCCGTGTTCAACTGGTTGGCTCCGGCAATTATCAATGTGATCGGAAGTCGGAAGTCAATATACTTAGGGTCAATATGTTACGTGTGCGTGTAATGAACATTTTCGTGATATGTGTTGTTGTTCGATGTAAACCACTTAAATTAATATTGGTTTCAATTTCGATTCTATTTACAGGGCCTTTTTGACGCCATTTATTTGGCCGTCCACTATTCTACTGTACACTATGTCTGCGGTGATAGGTTTCGGCACGTCAATTATCTGGACTGGACAGGGAACTTACCTCACTCTAAACTCAGACCCGTCAACCATATCTAGAAATTCCGGCATATTTTGGGCTATGTCGAATATCAGGTTTTGATATTTTTAATTTTTTATTCATTATACTATATTATAATACGTGTAAATTTGTTAAATACAAATTTTATATCAATGGTTTATACATAAGGTATGAGTATGTACTCTAAGTGTATCATATTGTGAATATGGTATTTGTCCCTGAAATATATTCAATATGTATGAAGTAATTCATAGAAACGTTAAAAATTAACAAAATTCCATTTGGAACAAATATCGGTTTTATTTAATTATTTTGATCATAACAATGATGATAAACCCACAGAGGATTAACATTCTAATGAATTGTATGAATTTAATAATTTATATCATATATATATATGTCATGTGATATACTGCTTGCGTAAACACGTACAAATTAAATATAATTTTCTTCTTCTTAGAGTTTATTGAGCCTTTGAGATCAACCCGTCTTATAACCAAGCTTCCATCCTTCTCTATCCAGTGCTAGAGTTCTCCAATTGGAATAACCTCCCATTTGTTCAACATCTTTTTTTATAACAAATTCCCACCGCATTCTTGGTCTTCCCAAGGACCTTTTACTTACAGGATTTTATTCAATCACTGCATGCAGTAGTGGATTTTTCCTCCTCCTCTAATTAAATATAATACTATGGGAAATATTTATATACTTATACGCATAACTTTCATAAGTCACATTTATGCCTACCAATGGGCACGTAAAATATATGTACCTATATTAAATCGATTTTACCCCATGTGCATATAGTATTTGTGTTGGAAATATGTTTATGATATTGGTGCTTCGTGATAAGAGCGATTTGGATGAAACGGTCAGGCGTTTGGTGTTCACCGTGTTGGCTGTGGTGTGCGCTTTTGGCACATTGATTTTGATCGTTTTGCGGCCGTCGTTAGACGCCGAAGGAAGGGAAAACGAAGTGAAAAAAGGTGTAATGGCGGTGAACCCCAAACAAGAACTGAAAGCCTCGATGAGACTTTTGCTGACCACAGATATGAGCCTGCTGAGCATAATATTCTTTTTTACAGGTAAGTGAGATGTATCCCCAACAACCATTACACTATACGATACATACGAGAGTATAATGCATCTACTAGTACTATCATACATGTAACCACATACAATATATATATATATATATATATATATATTGTCGATTTGCTACCAAACTATCTAGTAAAATGTGTGTGTACGTTGTTCTTGCGCAGGTCTGCACGTATCTCTATGCAGCGGCGTGTACACTTCGTGTATCGCTTTCACAACGACCATGGGCACCAACTCCAAACAACTGTTAGGTTACACGGGAATCGTGATTGGAGTCGGAGAAGTCCTTGGTTCGAAAAAACAATATTCATACACACAAATGTATTCGTGGTAACATACGCTTGATATTCATTGACAATATCGAAAACGATTGCAGGTGGTCTGTTGTGTAGCGTGCTGGGCAGAAAATCGGCTAGCTCCAGCGCAAATTTTAATGGCTTAAGTCGTTCGGTTGTAATAATCACCAGTTTTTTCGTCAACGTTGTAGCGTATGGATTGATCTTCGTAAACCTCCCAAATGATTCTCCCTTCGGCGACACTCACACTAAATCATTCATCGAACCAAGGTACTAGTAACCATGTAGATTTTCCAATACGTTATCACACCGAAGATAAATTTAAAGAAGTTAAAAGAAATAAATGATAAAATGTTTATACATTCTCGTATGCGTATTTTCAGACCGTATTTGGCCATTTTTTGTGGTTTTCTTCTGGGCTTAGGCGACAGTGGATTCACAACACAAATTTACAATATTATTGGAGTAAAGTACTCGGATAACAGCGCTTCTGCCACGTCATTATTTATGTTTATGCATGTAATTGGTTACAACTGTCTCATTAAGTGAACTTTAATTGTTTTTATAATTTATACAACCCTGTTTACAGGCAATATCAGCGGCCATCAGTTTTTTTTACAGTAACCAGTTTGGATTGTACATACAACTATTCATATTGGCAACCACAATGACCGTGGGCACTCTATCGTTCCTTAAAGTAGATGCATCTATTTTAGTTTAATTATATTGAAAAACCATTCATAAATTATCACACGTGCGTTCATGCACGTACAATGTATTATGATAAAATATGCATAAGTGTAGTGCTTGATCAAGGTTATTTGATATCCAAAACAAATTCATTAAAATATTATCGTCTCCTTTGAAAGTTTTTGGCTTTTTGGTTTTCTATGTGATTTTGTTGATAACTCACTAACAACAATTTTGAAAACTAAAGTTATGACTCATAACTATCAAATAAATTATTATGTTCTTTAATTTTAAATAAATAAATAAATCCATATAAATATAATTCTCATATAACTTAATTAAGTATATTTGCTTTTATAAAATAATAAATATTTATTAACTTGTCTTATTTTTGTACACAATATTAAAATGGATTAGAAAGTTTTTAGTGGAAAACATATAGAAAAACTTTTTTTAATAATTGATCGATTAATAATATTCGTCAACAATTTATAACGATTAAATCGAGTACTTTTAGAAAAATCTATCATTGATTATTGCTCGTAAAATGCATTTAACCTTTTATGAATTCCTAAAACTCTTCATAAATAAATGTTTCAATAAATCAAATTTATTAATAAGTAACCATATAGTGTTATTTTAATTCAAATTGTCAAAACCATTATGAATTGAATATTGTTATAATATCTAATAAAATAAACGGTTTCTAACACTCTTGATTTGTTAGTATAAATACTGGTATGGCACCATACTAAATAGAGCTATATGAGCTATAATGCAGTTATTACATTTTTATTTAATTATTATTTTTTAAACTTTTTAATATATATCTTTATTAAAAAATTAGTTAATTTGTACATTTTGTAAAAATAATTAATTTATACAACTGAAAAACTTGATGAGCAAATAAGATGAACATAACTGTTGATGAATGTGGACACTTAATTTAATTTAGTTATTTATTTCTATAGTATTTAGAGCCTAAAAACATTTTATTTCGTTTTTTAAAATAAATAAAATACTTGGCCAATAGATCTATCATCTATTTAGATCAGAACGCTAACTAAATTCGAGTTTAATTCGACATTTGTATTATATAAATAATATAAACCTTTTTATACATTTATAATCTCACGCGAAAAAATTACATTTATATCGTATTTATGTAATCTTCTATGTACTTCGCAATTCCGCATTGTCAATGTGATCACGGACACTTAATAATAATGTGGTTTAATTACGTATTCAATTGATTTTAAATTGTATAATTTCATGATGATAATTTTTTCTAATTGTAATGCTCTAATATTGTATGATAAAATAAATATAAAAAAATTAAATAATATAGGTATATAATTTTAAATTAATAATTTCTAAAGATACTTGTATTGACAGTAGATATGTTTTGGATACCGGCTGTTACTCGATAGCCAAATACTCGAGCCTTACCCGGTTCCCGACATAACACTGAATTTTTATTCAGCCCTTACCCATACTGTGTATACCAGACACAATGATGAACTACATTTTATTTTACGTTATCTACGGGTTGAATAATTTTAAATAATAATTTTGTATATTATTTATGGTTACAATATTGAAAAAATACCATATAGATATGCGTGTTCTTAAACTTAATAATATTTAATAATTAAAGTAGTAGAATTAATTATATTGATCATAGAAAAACAGAAATTAGTTTTAAGGCAGGTGTTATAAATAAAGAATAAGAATCGAGACAATATTTTATTACATTTTATTTCGGTAAATCAGAAATGAACAATTTCGTATAAATAAATCAATTATTTTTTAAAGAATATCCATCTTTCTCAAAAAATTAATAACTATAAAAATGAAAAAAAATAAACGAAGAAAAATCAATTTACGTAACATTTACTCTACGTTCTATCAAATGCCTTCCCTTATCAATTAACAATAATATAATTCCACAGAAAGACTGCACCAAATATCTACGCATTCACCTAGATAAAAAATTAAAGTGGGCCCAAATCAATAAATCTACGCCTACATTCTCTTCGACATCTCCATTCTAAAATGCCACTAAATAAAAAACTATTAATCTATAAGCAAATTATACGCCCAACCATAAATTACGGTGTCCAAATTTGGGGATCAACTAAAAAATCAAATATTTCTATTCTACAATCTTTCCAATCAATTAACTTACGTCTAATAACAAGCGCCCCGTGGTATATCAGTAACCACACACTCCATAAAGACCTAAACATACAAACACTTCCTGAACTTGCTTCTTGCTACTTCAATAATTCTATAATGACACCCAAAACCATCCTAACACTCTAATATATAATCTCCACAATCCCCAAAATCCTATTAATCCTTTACGTCGTTTCAAAAGAAATTGGGCAAGAGACTTACTATAAATCAGTTTATTGTTCTCATAGCTTATTCTCTCTTTAATATTTCATCTTGAAGTAGTGTCAATGAACTCCTTCTTCTATCATGTACCCATGCCTTGTATACATTGTATGATAAAAATTTACTTATTGTATTAATTATACAGATTGTAATATTTTCTTAATAAAAAAAAAAAAAAAATGATCACGCATAAATAAATAACTAATAATTATGTACTTGAAAACCCATCATAGTTCTTTGCAGTGTCTATATATTTCATACGAATAGTGTGTAATATGTAATTTTTTCTTACTTTTTTTTTTAATTTTGTGAATCTGTTTTCGACTATAACAAAACTAACAAAACTAATAAAAATGACGTATATTGTTTATAACTAATCGATATGACACGATGTTACTCTAAAAGCATTGAATTCGTTTAACATTATTATAATAATTAAAATTATACTGTTTAGATACTTTTGTTTAGTTGTTTCGATTTATCATTTGCAACTTGGGCTTCTTCCCCTATTCCACATTTTAGAATGAGATTTCCACGTGGATGTATATATAATTCTTCCTACTCGACTAATACACAAACTCATGACATGTACAAATAATTATTATTCAATAAAAGACTAAATAAGTTGGTTAAATAAATGGTTTTCATCTATAAGCTCTAATGAAAAATCTATAAAAATGTTTCATTTTTATAATTTTTTTTTATTTTTTGTCACTAATATAATTGGAAAATAGTTTATCATTTTAATTGGATTATTTTTATATATGACGGACTTAGCTCATAATAGTATTACATCTACAAAATATAACTCATTGTTATAAAGCCAATATATTTTTCGCTTCACCCAGAATTTAAAATGTGTTGTGATCAGTGGTGTATTTATGGTGGGGGGGGGTGCTGGGGGTTTCCACCCCGCAAAAAAAAAAAAAATAATATTTAACAACGTCAAATTTTAAACATATCAGTAATATAATAATTTTAGTTTGTTTATTCAATAAAGCATTAAAGTATAATGAAAAAAAAAATATTAATATAGCTAATAATTAAATTTTAATTGGATAATAATAATAACAATCGACCGCACGGCACTCACAGACACATGGTAAATAATCTGATGTGGAGAAAATATCGGTCGATATGTTGATGTCCTTGCCATGCTATCAATTCATCGGGATTTAGACTTTCAAACCGATGAAGTTATTGATGATTTGGCAAATAAAAAACGAAAACTAGAATTTATAATATAATTTTTAATTTTACTATAGTAGTTTGTCAATAGTTAGATTTCAATAAGTTAATCAAAAACCTAACAATAAGTTGGTAAAGAACATTTTATACTAATTTATAAAATTATTTCACTATTAGGTAGGTATGACACCCCCCTCCCAAAAAAAAAGTTTCTAAATACGCCACTGGTGGTGATAGTATGTAATAGGGCTCCGCATTACATACTATCACTACCAGTGGCGTATTTAGAAACTTTTCTTTTGGAGGGGGAGGTGTCATACCTAATAGTGAAATAATTTTATAAATTAGTATAAAATGTTTTTTATCAGCTTATTGGTTATTTTAAGTTAACAGTTTCGGGTAGAAGGATCGTAGTTTCTCTTAGAATTGTAATCCTTTAGTTGTAACTCGTGCTATTGCGCTATAGTGAAATATTTTGTCTAATCGGATTTCACGTAAACATCGTTTACGCACGTTGGGATCCATTGCACTTTCCTTATCCGAATGTCATGATATCGATCAGTGGTCACTTCAAAATACGTTTGAAAATGCCATACTTCAAGTTTCAATTGTTTAAACACTCGCGTTATGTTGACTAAATTATTTGAAACAACTTTTTTTTAACTTTTTTTTTTTATTATTTCTTTTACAAATATTAACTCTTTTAAACACCGTAAAGGGCTGGACAACACTACGGTGACGTCAATATTTTTTGGTGCAGCTCGTAGAAATTGTATCGAAAAATGTCAACCTTTTCGTACAACCCTTCTTCCAATCGCCATCATCGTGACGGACCGCTCTGCGCTGGTCCGCGAACGCGACGTTGAAGCGGCACCGGCGTCCAATGCCGCTGTTGCGCTTGTCGGACGTAGCCTTGGCCACGGGAATGGTCACCGCGAGGGTGGGTGTGCAATGGATGCACGGTTGCCGTGGTCTCAAGTCGTAACCGCGATACTCGAACTTGGTGTAGGCTGCGTTGGTGGGGGCGGGGGGGGGGCCGACGCGTTTTTTGGCTCCGGGAGCTTGGCAAGGTGGCCGCGGGGCGTAGCATGCCGGTTGACTCATGGCCGAAATCGCGGATTTCCGTACCCGGCGTTCCCGGTCACGCAATATTCGCTGCCGCGTTCGCTTGTCCGCGGGCGGCTTGGCCCACGCGACGTCGAGGCGCACGCCCGAAGCCACGTCCTTGGAACAGTCCATCGCGTCCATGGCCGACTGCGCGTCCTCACGCCGTTCGAAGTGCACGAACGCGTAGTTTTTCAGGTTCTTCACGCGCTCCACGACCCCGTACCGGCCGAACACCTTGGTCAGCGCGCGTTCGTCCAGCACGCCGCCGTACTGCCTGACGAACAGTATGCGCACCGTGGCCATTGTGTCCGCGTCCACCTGCGGTTCCGGATCCGCCCAGTCCACGGTCGTCTTGCACCCGAACACCTTTTGACGCGACAGTACTCGCTTTGCTTCTTTAGCCGCGGCCACCGACCTGTAGTCCAGGAAGCAGAAGCCCCGGTGCATCGACGGGTCGTCGAAGTTCTTGTACGTGATCACACGCACCAGATGACCGCGCGTTATTCGGCTAACTTCGTCAAATATCTCCTTTTCCGTCTTCACCTTCGGCAGGTTGCCCATGAACAACCTGCACTTTTGGCCGTTATCCTTGGTGATCGATGTGCTTTCCGAACGGTTCGTCATCGCGATTCTATCACGAGGTATGATCAACTGTAGTTCTTGAACGTTGTCAACGATACGACGCGTGCGTGATGGTTTCGCGAATTCCTCGTTTCTTGATTGTTTTTATTCTTTATTCTCTTCCTGTCCACAGTGTTTCTGTTATGTTGTCTTGTTAACAACGAATGTTCGATTAATATTTCGTACTTGTTTTACACTAGTTGAAAATACTCGTTACGGGTTATGCGATATTGATTTTGTATACATAGCCAGCTGGTTATTACATAGCACTATTTGTAATCGGGTGATTTAGTGCCTTTTTATATATATATAAATCCGTCGTACGTTTTTCTATCTCATTTAGACGCATTACAGTGTTAAAGGTTAGCAGTAAATAATATTCCACCGGCTTACAGTCTTATTCCACTAGATTGCTTGAACCTTTTTGTTGCGTAAACTTTCTAATTTGTACTATCCATATAGTTTATTAAACTTTCTTCTTATCTACAATATTACCACCCAATACTTTGACTTGGTTATTAAAAAAGTCTCAGAATGTTTAATTCCTGCTGATAAAGTGTATTTTTAACCGATGGCTTATGGCCAGAAAAATATAATATGCCTGGCAAGCACTTTTCTACATATGTCTATTACGCCTTGTATGGACATTAAGCCATGAATAAATGGTTGGGAAGAAAATAACATTAATATTCATGTATATATATACAGTAGAAGCCGCTTATTAGAAACACTTTGGGACCAAAGTGAAATGTGTCAATTATCCGATTGTTTCTAATAAACGATTTGTTAGATTTATACTATGAAAAAAAAAAATAAATAAAAAATACGCGGAAAATTTATTTATGTATGTGTGTATATATTACGATTTTCGTATTTAAAATGTTTATCTTACTAATTACTTTATTACATATTAAAAATATTTATCTTACTAATTACTTTATAACATATTAAAAATATTTATCTTACTATATTATTTAAAATATTTATGGATCGAAGTTTGTTTTTTTGCGTCAAGTAACTCCATAACCATATTTTCATATGAATAATGCTGCTCAAAACCTATTTCATCCACACGGTGCTAAACAGCTCTCCTAAGGATACTTAAATATTCTACAATACAGGCAAACTATGTTCGTGTTCGTCGTCTGTTTTGTCATCTGTTTTGAATCCACCGTGACGAAAACAATTTCGAATTGTCTCCACACTTACTTTATTCCATGCTTCTTTTGCTAGATGAATAGCATCAAGAATGGTTATTTTTTTTGCTATATCGTTAGCTTGTAAGGAACGAGATGTATCGTGTAGACCATTATTATTCACTGCTAGAACTTTTCCCCTTATTGCTGATCTGTAATAAGCTTTGAAGGTGCGTATGATACCTTGGTCACATAGTTGAATGATCGAAGTAGTATTTGCTGGCAAGAAAATAACTTTTATGTGTCTTAAGTTTATGCAGTCAATGATATGAGCTAGACAATTATCAATGAGTAATAAAATGTTCCGATTGAGCACTTTATCCCAATTGATCGGCCAATCTTTGAAAATTGCTGCAGTCATCCAAGTGTTTTTGTTTGCCGGTACACAATCATGAAATTCATTAATAAAAAGGAAAAGTAATAAAATAGAATAGATTATAGAAAACGATCATAGAAAACTTCACATATCAAGAGAACAAATACAAACTACGTTATAGTTGAAACGCTCTGAAAATCGATGTACTGTGCATGGGGCTCTGATGAAACGGACACGTATTAAAGCCTCGCGACCTGCACGATGAAATAAGGTTTTTAGTTCGCAAGCAACTGTTAAAAAATAACTGCTTCCGCCTTCTATTTATCGTTCTATTGCATATCACTTGCAATTCTTTATTAATTCTTATGAAACTAATGCGGGACAGAAGGATATAATTGAAACGAGTTTTAAATTTCCTTAACCTTAACTTTTTTACTTCGTGGTTACAGACAGGTTTGAATATACTCGTAATATAATATATAATAATAATATTTAATTGCTATATTTTTTATACAATAATAATTTTGCTTTTTTAAATTACAAATAACACGTTTACAATAATATCAAATATTACGTAATTAAGAATAATTACTAAAGCTCAATTTACTACTTGACACTTTGCATACATTTTTAATTTCTTAGTAAATAATTTTTGCTATGTATTTATACTATGTGTTATAGTTCATGTTATGATTATTCATCTAAAAAATATATGGTATTATTACATAAGTGTAGGGTTGTCCCTAGGACATGGTGAGTGGGGCTCACGCCTCAGACCCCGTACTCTCACCACAGTTGGACAGGCCTTGCTTTCATAGATTATAGATACAATAAAAAAAAGTTAAATTGATAAGCAAAAAAAAAAAATGTAAATATAATTTTTTTTTTATGTAAAATTTTATACTATATAATTAATTGATTTACTTATGCATATTGTTGTAAGTGCAAGGTACTATATTTGTTAAGACTATTTGCGCACATTTGAGTTCCAATATGCAACTGGCGCGCGATAGTGACATTTTCGACATTTAAGGCTCTACAATTTTACTCTGCCCCAAGCCTCACAAATCATCATAACGGCCATGCATAAATGTTGATGGATTTGTTACCATGAATGTTAAACAATAGTTTTCGGGCTACTTTAAAAAAAAATTCTCGGACCACACTGAAGGAAAAGAATTTTTTCTAAAAGCTATTAGGACTAAAATTGGATTATAAAAATATATACTTTGTAACAAAAAAATACATAATTATATGTTATATATATGTTTTTAGGTATAGTCATGATTAAAATTGAAAATATTAACATTTATTTTATGGAGAATTTCGTCTAACTTGGGATCTATCATAGTGATGTTTCACTGCACAATACAGTTAAACCAATGGTATCATTTGGGAAGGGGTAACTGGGGAATTTGTCTTAGTCTTGTATTTACTCTGACCAGTAATCGGCACACTTAAAAATATAACTTTGCTGAAACTCAAAATTAGCCACTTAGGTTACTACTCCAAACACAAGAAATGCTTATTGGAGAAGTATCAAATATTTTTATTATTAATATTAAGTACTTTATTTATTGTACATATTATTTTATGATGGTTATTATAAATAAAAAATAAAAAGTAAAATTAAAATAATATTTTGTACGTATGTTTTAGAACATTTATTTTCTAAATCTTTCTTTTATAAGAAAATAAAATGCTATTTTTTTTATTTATTGTAAATAAATTTCATTCATTTCAGCACACCAAGTGATATCACAAGTATTTGTACAATTTTAATAGTATTAATAACAATTTCTATAATATAAATTATATTGGTAATATAATGACAGTTAAGATATAAATGGCTTGGGTAATGAATATAATTTGAACATTTTAGAGGATTCAATAGGTAAGCAGATTAAATTGCTTTACAAGATTAATTTTCCCTCTCCCTATATAGAAAACCATGCACGCACGACGAGTCGAAAATAAAATTGGCAAAGAATGAACCTATCTATAGTTTGCAATATTCTCCGAAAGAATCCGGCAAAATAAGTCCAATAAATTGTTTTTTTCCATGACGATGAAGACGACAAACTTATATTATTTCCGGTGCGTATAGTTCCGGTCCGGTTATATAACCAATTTGATTGCAACTATTCGTGACCAGGTTTTGTGACACGCGCTGTTGATACACCGCGTACCCAGAGGAGCAAGGCCGTATCTGGGAGGGTCCAGGGTGTTTGGACCGCCCCCCCCCCCCGAAATGTCTTCAATATTTTACAAATGTTTAAAATAATTATTTTTTAATTTATTATAATTATATTTTATTTATATTTTATATTTTATTTAATTATACTTTAATTTATTTTTTAATACCAACATAAATATTTTCAGTTAAAAATGACTTAAGCTCCAATTAACCATTAACTGCTTTTAGTTTTATATCATAATATCATATGAAAATATGATATTAATTTTAATAAAAAAAGATTAAATCATTTTCCGTCTTATTTTTAACCAAATATCAAAAGTTAAAATCTAAATTCAATAAAATTACAATATACATGTTTTGGACCCCTCCAGAAAAAAAATTTCTAGATACAGCCTTGTAGAGGAACATATGGTATGTGCGTGTACACTATTGCGTTAAAAACACTGTCACTATGTAATGATATTATCAGTGATATGATATTATAATAGAATCTCCATAGATAAATCAATATTTTAAATAAGTTAAGTTGCTGTAGTCAGTGGCGCAACTAGTGTTGGGGTTTGGGGGTTGTGACCCCCCCATCCCCGTCATTTTTCTAAGGTTTTTACAAATTCTAATGATTCTAAAATGGTTTATCTTAAAGACGCGAAATGGTTGATTGATATGAATATGAATATTATTCGTATTATAATTGATAACAATAATAAAATTACAATATGGAACGTTTGGTAACGTTCAGTTCAACTCTATAACATCAATAACCTTGCTACTACAATTTCTCGATAGGCGATTGTATAATACTTTATTTTGTGTTATCAAAATATGAAATAGAAGTTAAACAGTTTAATTTGTAATTTAAACATTTTACTCATAAACCTACCAAACTAAAACTACCAAACACCTTCAGAAAATGTTTATTTTTTCCAAATTCCAAATTTTTCTACGAACTCTATTATAGATAAATCATCCTCATAAATCTGCATAAAGCCAATAAAAATATGTAAAAACCTAAAGATCCGCTTTCTACTGATGACTGATGTAAATAATAAAACTAATAATACAATTTGGATATTGAGTCGTCAGTATTTATGTACTGATAAAGATAATGACAGTTCTTTAATACATTTTCGCAACCATAGGTGACAAAAGCCGAAATATAGGTACGAGTAACCCGTGCAAACGAAATCAAAATACAGAATAATACTTTAAATTGACATTAATTTTTACTGACCGTTTGAGAACCTTACTGTCAGTAAGCACAAATACTGTTTTTAAATTAGTATTCATACCGCCAGTAATATTGATCGTTTAAGGGCCACTTAAAACAGCGGTTCTCCATCTTTTAGAGGCCGCAACCCCATAAAACGGTGGGAATTGAATCGACACCGTCGTTGTCATAAAATAATATTGGTTTAATGATTAAATAAAATAAAAATAAATCACATGGATGACTTCGATTTTCATTTGATTACAATTTAAATTGATAACGGATTTTTAAATATTGTGACTGATAAGGAATATATGACACCGTAGTCAGCTATTCGGATTTGCTGTCTCAAGACGCTTGTGAAATAGCCTCTTCTTGCACAGAATAATTGCATGCTTCAACGTTTCATCTACATGCTCTTAGGCGTGATCTTTACAAAAATAATATCGATAAATCATAATTTAATTCTTTGACATCGATATTTTTTTAAATAAAAATATGTATTCAAATTTGTTGTCAACATTTTTTAGTCAGTTTGGTCAGGACAGAGAAAAAAAATATCAGTGATACATTGATATTATCGTATGTTATAAATATCAAAGTTTATTGATGTTTGATATCTATATAATATATAGCTTGATATTATCAAGCTCATTCTTAGCCGCTTCTTTTTTGTACTTCTCTCCTATCTGTCTACTCAATAGTTTTCTTAATCCGCACCATGGCAGGTCCTCCGACGTTTATCGAACTTTCACGGGTAGAACAAGTAAGTCTCGACATGATCGTGTGCGTTTATGTTTTGTTATTATACATGCTTGAGACGTCGTCCGAAATATAAGGTCTGCGGTGATTAACACCGGTTTTTAATCCACACATAGACCTTCGTTTAATCTGGTCTATAAATCCTTTTGTTCGACGACGTAACATATAATTGTTCTATTATGAAACCAGTAGATCCGAATTACTATTTAGTGTTTTGGTGATCAGCAGTCCGTTATTTGATTTTTCTATTCGTTGTCAACATTTATAACTTGTATTCCATTATAAATCTACAATTATCAATATTACTCTTCCAGATTTATCAGCCAATCACATTATTTTATAAAATCCTTGATTTTTATCTGCTCATTGACAATTAATTTATTAGTTTTAGGTGATTGTTTAGTTGCTAGATATATGAAGTAAGCCGGATATGAAATATATTACCTCATTTATTATATTTATGTATATAAAACCAAAATAATGTCATATTATATTTACCAACCTATCCCTATTTATAGTTCTATCTCTATCAACAAAAATCGTAGATTCTCATTTGATAGAAAGTATTAATTAATTATTATATACTTATCGTATAATTGTAAAAAAAATTGTTATAATTGTTCATGTAGAGCTACTTTTAAAGAAGTAGTTTATTTATGGTATGTTTAAGTTGGTCATGGTACAAATTCTGTTTTTGTAATAATTGTTTTATTTTTCCATTGTAAATTATGTATAATTGGATCAGAATCAAAATATTTTATCTATGCATTGTAAAATATTCTATATTGTTCACAGGCTTTAGAATTAAGGTCATATTTGCGTAGCATTGGAGCTAGTTTAGAAGAAAATGCACCAGAAAATATTGAAGAAGATATGCTTGAAATTATATCCAAATGTGATGCTTGTTTGGAAACAGATTTATCAGACACTGATATTGAAAGCTTTTTATGTTCAATTGTATCAGTGATTATTGGGATTGGTACAGTAGAAGTTGAAAGCAAACTTGTAACTGAATTTAGTCAAAAGCTGTCAAAATATGAAGAAGATCGTTTTAGTAATATTATACTAAAAACGTAAGAATGATATTATATAAAACATTATTGATCATTATTTAGAACAGTGATTTTAATTTAATTTTCTTTATTCAGTCTTTGGTTGTTATTTGGTTCAGTTGATCCAAAACTACCAGCACGCTTCCAACTTTATTCTGATATTATTGATGTTGCCAAACGAAACAAGCAACTGTTATTGGTTTATGAAGGAATTGAAAGTTTAAACAAATCTCTTCTTTCCATCAACCATATAAAAAAACAAAAACAATCTCTCCTTAGACAGTTGCATAGTGCATTGATTGAAAATGGACACAGGTAATTTTCTTAAAAATATATAAATAATTCATTTTAAAACTGATAAAAATATTTTTTAGTGAATTGGCTGCTGAAGTTATGGTTGAACTTCTTCGTAATTACACAGCTGATGATGGTAAACAAGCTAAAGATGATGCTAAAAGATGCATTGCCTCTGCTATTGCTGATCCAACCACATTTTTATTTGAACCATTATTGAGTTTGGCTCCTGTTATATCTCTACAGTCCACTCCTTTACATGAACTTTTAGTTATATTTGTTTCTGGAAATCTTGCTAATTATTTAGATTTCTACAAAGGCCACAAAGATTTAATTAAATCTTTAGGTAATTTATTTATTATTGATTACTTATCTTTCTAAATATCCTTATTTATATAATATAAATTTTATTATTTGTTTTGTAGGCTTAGATCATAATGCCAACATACACAAGATGAAGCTCTTAACAGTAATGAGTTTGGCCGAAGATAGCAGCATTATATCATTTGAAACAATACAACAACAAGTACAAGTAAATGCTGAACAAGTAGAACCATTTTTACTGGAACGTAAGATGCAGTGAATTGATTTTGAATAAGTATTATTTTTAGTGATTACCACTAATATATCTATATTTTTAGTTTTTGGAACAAAATTGGTTCGTGGCCGTATGGATCAAGCTGCAAAGAAAGTAAATATTTCAAGTACAATGTATCGTACATTCAGCAAACAACGTTGGCAAATGTTGAGAGATTCATTCTTCAGTTGGCGATCATGTCTTAGTGTTATTGAAGAAGGAATGAAAACTGTTGTGTCAAATTCTCAAGCATAAATTGAATAAAATATATGATTATAAAAACTATGTTTAATTTAATTAAATTGACATTTATTAAAAAAAATTATGGATTAAAGAAAGAATATTTACTTGGTAATGAGTCATTATTAATGACCTTTGGAAATATTGGCATTTTAGTTACAATACAATACAGATAATAATAATAATAGTAATAATAATACTAATAGCTGTTATGAATTATACACAAAGGATATGAAGTGATAAAAGTGATAAATATTAAAATTGAATGGTCAAATATTGGAAAAATTATCTAATTAAAAAAAAATCCTATATACTTGTATATTTTTATACATAAAATAATAATGGATAATTTAAAAAAATTATTTATACTCAAAATTAAATCATGATGGAATTGAGATTGTGTAAAACTTCAGTGATGTGAATGTTATGAAGTTACAAAACATATTGGTTTTGGAAATTTGTATGTTTTGTGTGTTTTACCAAACACACACAAAACACTTTGCTTTTTTAATTTATTTGTGCGCATTAAAATATTATCATTAGGTTCAATTATATAATAAATATAATTTAAAAACAATATTACGCGTGCTTGTGTCCTAGCAACTAGGAATACATTGAAATTGGTTTATCCAAAGTTGAACAATCGCAGCAATAATTCATTAATTATTACATTATGATCTATATAGATGGTAACAACTTAAATCTTATTTAAAACTCAGTTAACCTTAATTCTTAACTATTTTTACGGTATAATATAAAAAAATTCACAATTTAACTAAATTACAGATTTCAGATTTTAAAGTCTACATCTTAAATTTTAATTATCTAATTTTTTTAAATTTACACATCATTTTTAGGAGACTTCTCAGTCAACTTCCACGTAGTGTCTCCTGGATAATGCTAATAGACTGAAGGGACTCAATTTCGATAGCCTAAAAATATTTGTTGAACTCATCTCTGATAACTTAAAATTATTTTCAGGACTCAATTCAATATTTCCGTTTGTCATCAGTATGTTAATTCGATAAATATCTATAATATAATTGTATATTACAATATACATGTGCATACAACTTTGTCTACAGCTTATTTAAAATAAATATAAATGGACAACTGATAGCCGGTTTCGTACAACCATGACTAACTTCATAGAATGTCTGCCAAGTTTATTTAACCACTTAAAATCTTTATAAATTATTTTACTACTTACATATTGTAATGAGTATTATTTGTTATTTTATATTTGTATCTAATTAATTATACACTGAAATAAAAAAAGTTACTATCATAAAATTTTGTTTTTGTTTGATATAATAAAAATAAGTTAATAAATCAAATTTTCTTAATTACAAAATATAATTATCACTTATCACATTTTTAGAGATTTATATTAATAAAAGCTAAATATTAATTTACATTTATGGAATAATATTAGGTTTAATGTTATACAGCTACCTATCCAAAATTATTACAGTCATTACTAACAAAGGGATTTACAGACTGAATAAAATAGATTTTTTTATTTATTTCTAGATATTAAGTATTTTTGGAACATAAATATGCTTTTTTTATTAAATTGTTCCTACATTTTTAAAAGACTGATTTGGAAATTAATAAAATTATACCTAATTAACAACTTTTGGTTTTGAAAAATAAATATAAGTTAGTATTGTTTTTCTCCACTGTAGTTGGAACCATAAATTAAAAATTATCAACTATAATATCAATCATAATTATTGTGACCAAGTTATCCAATTAATATCATAATATATTATAATTATTTAAAATAATTAAAAATATGAAACAATTTTATTAAAATACCATCTATTAATGTACATTTTTATTGTTTTCGTTGAAAATAATCTGCTTTTTAAATTATATTCTATAATATTTGATCAAAAATTTTTTAATTTAGAATAAAATTACTAAAAACCACAAAAATGTCTATACTTCTAATATTACAAGAGTATGACTAGCGTTCTGCAGCGCTCTTTAGCGGATGCTAAATATCTGGGCCCACTTTGATCTGTATAGATCGCTTTACCGCTTATCGCTCACCGCTCAGAAGACGAACGGTTCTTCGCAGGAAAAAAATTTTTGTGATCCATGATGTCAAAAATGTCCACCAGAGTGAATCACGTC